GTCCTGCGCGGCTCCCGGCTGGCGGAGCTCGGGTCGAGTTTCTTCCAGCTCCGCTCCAGTCTCGCCGTATAAAACACATCGGTGTGTGTCCGCGATGGCAGCCTCGGGCTGCGGGTGTTTGGCAGCCTGCCTGTAAATCTTCAGGCGGTACAGAGTAGGTTTTCTCTGAAACGTTGATTTTAAAAAACAAAAAAAGTACTCCCACAGCGGAAGAGACAAGCAAAGAAAACATGCCTGAACCAAAGTCACTAGATTTCAGGGCTGCTTCTTTTGTGGAAACACAAGAAGGGTAGGAACGTGGCTGGAAAGTGCGGAAACTCACTCGAACTGCTAGTCTTGTAATAACTTTTCTTTACAGAAGAACTGGTGCTCCTAGAGCTATTTTTCACAAATACTTGTATGCTTCAGTCTTTCAAGACGTTACAGTTCTTGCTTGGGCTTCATGCACTTGTTAACTACGCTGCAATTTTGGCAGGGAGGATGGTGTTCAGGTTTTTGCTGAATATGCCTTCTTCATTGCTCAATCACTTTGCTGTTCAAAGTGTAACACAATACAACTAAAATACTATGTTCTTATAATTAAAATTCAAACAAGTCAGGCAAGGAACATCATGGTAGGAAGTTAAATAATGAAACTTTATGAGGAGGGTCAGCTTTAAATGGTTTGTTTTAAGGAAAAGTATATTGTAAGGAAAGTGAGAGATTGATATGACAGTGAAAAAATTCTCTACCATAAAAGCCTCTACCAAAGGCAGAACATTTAATGTAAACTCTGACAGTGAAATGTGTAAAAAGGTGCTTGTTTTGTACTTTGATATGGAAGTAGATAAACTTATTCATCAGATGACTTTGGATGTTGGACTTGCTGGTACCCAGTACTTTGGATCACATAACATACAAGCTGCTAAGTAGCTCTTGATATAAATCTAGAGCGTAGTGAGTTAATGCAGTTATCTGTCATTTTTTTTCTTAGTCTCTATAGTACACTTTTTCTATTCTTTTACCTAAAAATGGGATCTTTGACATTCTTAGTCCTTTACACTTGTGCTGACCTCCTAGGTAAATGGTATACTAGCTTAACTACACAGTTTTACATATTTCTGAGCTTGTGGGCCGTGTTAGTTTTGCTTCGCCTCAACAAGCATAAAGAGTTCAAGCTGGCAGATATTGTATCTGGAACAACTTCTGAATGTTTTTAATGCATAAAATACATGTAGTATGTTCCATACGTATTTCAGAGATCAATTTTTTTGTCTATTGCTAGTTCAAGAAATGCAGTCTTTCCAAAATAGCATAACACAACGTGATTTGCCTCCCTACCATAATATTCTCAGCAGTGTTGAAGCCTGGGCTTTCTTTCTCTAGTGGCATGTTTTGGAAATTTATCTTATTTGTCACTTCTTGCCCAGCCCCCTTTGGGGTTTTGTATTTAAACAAGATTCTTCCGCTATGACATAGTCGTCCTCTGCTCTTCACTCTTTAACAAGTTTTCTTCTTCTCATGAATCCCATTTGAATGCTATGGGCCTGTGCTTTAGAGCAATTTTGTGACAATTTGCAAAGCCAGACAATCTGTATAATATGGGATGGGAATTGTTCTGTGATGATGCTCTGGCACTGAAAATGTTACACTTTTGTCACTGCATTGTTCATTGAGCTGTTACATTTTGCTTTTCAGCAGAGCTAGCTGAAAATTTGTGTAGCCATGTTCTCAAAGCTAGCTTTGGTACTTGCTTGTGGATTGAGGCACCATACTCCGCTGCATGTGAGGTTTTTTGAGTGGTTTTTTTTTTTATTTTGGATTCTTCAGAACCCAATTTTAATACTTGTAATAGTTGTAATCATCTTGCTCTCCTTTTTAGGAACTTCTGTGTTCTTCACACACTAAGCTGTCCTGTGGAGAATCTATTCTCAGGTGCTCTTGTATAATGGAATATAAATATTTAAAGAGTATCTGTTGTCTCTGCTGTGGAAGAAATCTGACCTGTTTCTGACATTGAATGATGGCAGATCCACACAAAGGCATCCCTGAATGCAGCAGCTTCATAAGATCAGGGGGAGTTTTCAATTCCTACCTATATAAATTATCTAAACCATCTTAGTTTGTTAGGGACAAAAATTTGTTTGTTAGGGGTAGTTCCTCAGTTTTTTTCCACTTTTATTGGTCTAAATTGGGAAGATGACAACTTTTCAAAGTTATCATATTTAATTATTCACTTTTCTGCATCATTTGAAACTACCTTAGTTTGAGGTTAGTTATCATTTAAAATATGAAAGGAATTTTTTTTTTTTAAGAAAAGGAGTTTTGAGAAACAAGCTTTAGGAAACTTGCTGTGGTAATTCAAAGTGTCACTACTCTCAGTTAATCTGCTCACGGAGGCAAGTTAGCAGTAGGGAATATCTGTCTACATCTCAGCTGCTCTGATATGAATCCAGCTGGGTTTTTTTTAGCTTAAGCTGCTGATCAAAATATGAGCTAAGATGATATGAGCCTATAAGCTGAGGTGATAGTGCACATTCCTTCTGCAAGGGTTGTGATAATCCCTGGAAGAGATATTGGTATGTCATTAACCACCATCCCCTGTCTCATGACATATGCACGGATATTATTCCCCTATTCCTTAGCCCCCCTCCACACCGCTTCCCCAAATAAGAACAGTTGATGACTTGGGCTCTATCTCTGGAGGTGGTCACTCAGGAGAGGGGAAGTGGCACGTTGGACTGCTGGGTGCCAAGACCCACTTGGATTGAGTCACCGCTGCACTCATCCGGTTCCTCATGAGGCTTATCCTCCTTTGGTTCAAGTGGTTCTTGCTGTACTGTTCCTGTAACGTACAACTCAAATCATGGGTTATTTTCCCCCAAGTTTAAATCTCCTTGAGATACACACTGGATTTCCCTATCCTTCCACATTAGCCACCAAGTGCACTTGAGCAAACATAATCCCACAAATGGCTTTGCCTTTTCCCGAGGGAGGAGCAATCTATACAGCCTTTTCCAGCCACTAACAAGCGCCAGACTCTAATATGCAGTAAAGTAAGCAAGCTCAGTGAGCAGCACAGGAGCCTGCCAGTTAACAACTATAATGTACTCAGATCAAAGCTGTCATTATCTTTAGCCCCACGTTGGGCACTGAGGACTGTGGTGGGTTGACCCTGCCCAACAGCTAAACACGCACCCAGTGAGTTGCTTACTCTTCTCTCCCACGGGATGGGGAGAAGGCAGAAGGAAGATGAGAAGACTTGTGTATAAACATAATGGCAGTTTAATGGGGAAAGCAAAAGCTGCATGCTCAAGCAGAGCAAAAAGAGCAAAATCACTACTTCCCATCAGTGGGCAGATGTTCAGCCACTTTCTGGAAAGCAGGGCCTCAGCATGCTTCACGGCTGCTTGGGAAGACAAACGCAGTAAACATTAACATTCCCCCTTTTTCCTCTTTTCCTTGAGCTATGTTTTGCTGAGCACGACATCATATGTATGGATATCCTTCCCGTCAGTTGGGGCTGGCTGTCCTGGCTGTGTCCCCTCCCAGCCTCTTGCCCACATCAGCCTCCTGGCTGGGGGGAGAGGGGGACAGGGCAGAGTGGGAAAGAGAGAAAGCCTTGATGTTGTGCAAGCACTGTTCAGTAGTAGCACACAAATATTTTGGCTATCAGTAGTGTTTTAGCCAAAAATACAAAGCACAGCACCATACAGGCTGCTGTGAAGAAAATAGCAGCCAGACTCAACACATCATCCTAGCAGGAAGGTTGTGGATTTGAACTCGTGAAGTAAAGTTGCCCACAGCTTGCTGGTGAAGGGCCTTTACCTGGACAACTACTGTTGTTTGCAGTAGGATTATTGTAGCTGAATGACTAAGGGAGTTTTAAGGCTTTTGCGGCTTTGTGCACTGGACCGCATGCTTTGTGTAAGCTTCACTGTTTCATCGCTAAGTGTACATACAAAGAAATAAACATGCACATGATGTTATTCTCCATTGTTTGTTCCACAGAGCAACATCAGAAAGAGGAATATTCTCTGTTTCTTTCTCCTATTTGAAGAGTAGAAAGTGGGATTGTAAAACGATGGAAGTTCTTGATACTTCTATTTAATTTAATGACAATTACTAGATATTAAGGTGCCAGTTCCTCAAAGTACTCATTAGAGCACCCAGTTTCCTTGTGGGATCTTTTTGTGTAAAAGAAATTGACAGTTAAATGAATATACTTAACAGGTAGGACATTGTTTGCTTTTAATATCTTATCCTGGTATGTTCTTACAAGACTTACTTATGCTTGAAATTGGTCCTTATTTTCTGTCAGTCAGCAGAGCTGTGGGATGTGTTAGCGAGGCAAGCGCTGGAATTTCATAGTTTGATGTGTCTTACTGCTCTAACTTGCAAGTTTCCTTATACGCAGTGGTCTTGCGTTATTATTTTTTATGAGTACTGTGTTGTTGCTGCCCAGATATGTAAAATGGGGGCAGATGAAGTGCGAGAGGATGGAAAAGTGAAAGGCATAATGAGGCTGTCATGAGGATGACTGAATATGACACACTCTGAATAGACAGGCTGCTGCTAGGGAAATGGCTTGCCTTCGTTATACATAGGGGCTAACTATGCATTTTGTTGTGTGTTTTGTTTTTGTTTTTCTTTTTTCTTGCTAGCAGTGACCAGACAACATCTGGGCCTCTGCAGCCTCTCTCCCGGTCTTCTTGGGTTGTTCTGGCCGGTCCACATTGTTGCTGTAGCTTTTGTGGCTCTGGATGGCTAGTGAAGAAGGATGTTCAGTCTAATGGCCAATTGCTGCAGCTGGTTAAAACGGTGGCAGGAACCTGTCAGGTAAACGCGAAAGTATTTTACGTTTCTGTGCTGACCTTCCCAAACTGTGTTTCATGTCCTCTTGTCTGTCTTTTACTTTATTTGCTATATAACATTCTGCGTATTTTTGAATTCCAAGACAAAATCTGTCATTTTTTTTCTCCAAGAGAGAATCAATACATCTTCTGAACTTAAAAATGAAATGTTAATCATCCCTAATTCAGGTACTTTGTTTCTGGCTCCAGGAAAGTATAAAGTTCAAAATATTGTCCTTCACATACTGTTTCCTCAAGTTGAGCATTATGGGGTGATGCTAGAATGTTTATGTAAAGTTTATTTGGCTTTTGTCTTATTGATTTAGTTTCTGCATTTTGAGATTCTAAAGTGTAATGTGTTAAAACACTCTGTTGTCCAGAGTAGACTGTAGCCCCAGTGTAATACTAGTTTTCTTACTATTATCTAAGTATCTTAACACTGCATTTTGTAGGTAGCCTGGTGATCCATTCTTGCTTATGGAATTCTACTGTTCTCATTTGTTTCTGTTATTTTTACTTTGACATCCTGCACCCTTTTCCCTCCAATTAGCAGAGATGCACAGATAGTGCATGGTTTGTTTCAAACTATTTACAAACTATAGGGAAGGGAAATAAAGGGTACACCACATGTATTTATACTTCACAGTCATGTAGGAGGATTTGCTCTTTTCTTCAATGCTACGTAGTTTAGGTTTTATAGAAGGTGCTGCTATTCAAAGAACTATATTGGATTGAATAGCTTTCTGACTTGACCAATGTATTATAGACAATTGTGAGTTTATAAATGTTCATGGCTGTTCTGATTTTAGCTTACTGTTAAAGTATAATTTACTGTGATCCTACTGTTCATTTTTAGGTTCTTTTCTCAGAGCTTTTTGGCTCTTCTGAAAGAACTTGCATAAATTATACTTCATGTATTATGCTATTATAGTTTTAAAACTGGAAATAACAATGTTTTTAGTATTCCTTCACTTAAAGGGGCGTAAAATTGAGGAAATTTCTTTGACTCCTCTGAGTCTTTGTGAATAGGAGGAGCAATTGAGGTATACACATAGATATGTTTTTCCTATTGCTTTGCTTAAAATCCTATCCTGGTATAAATTCTAGCCTGTATACCAGTTTGCTGATATATTGTACATACTCAGCACCACTGGTTTGCACATTAACAGTCTAGATTGCTCCTGCTTGAAACAAAGGCATGATGAGTATCAGTGCTGCTTATTTACAGCATCTGATGTTGTCTACACAAGTGTTGTATACTGTATAGTGTTGTTCAGATGCACTTGTTGAGACAGAAATAAATGTCTAGTATAGGCACAACTTTGAGGCAGAGAGACGGTAAAAATATGGGGAACGGAAATGAAATTACAGAAATTGTTAGAGACAATGACCACACCAAAAAAAAGGATAAAATTTACAGTACCGTGAAATTAAATCTCAGGAGGCAAATACAAGTTGAAAGCAAAATCTTTGTCTCACGTGAAACTTCCAGCACATTAGACTTCTCATTTCATACCTTGTTCTGCTGTTCTGTCTAATCAGATGGTTTGACATACTGAACACCAAATACACAATTGTAACAATGCCTGCTACTTGGTATTTTGATACTTATTCTTTCTACTGCTTTGTGGTAAATTTGCTATGCATGTATTAAAGTTAATAAAATAAGTGATGTCTAGCTAGAGGAAAAAAAGATTTGAAATATCTTTCCTTTTTTTTTTTTTCTCCTTATGGAGGAAGGTGACACTAATAATGGTGGGTCTTGATAATGCTGGTAAAACTGCTACAGTCCGAGGAATTCAAGGAGGTAAGCGATTAATTTCTTTATCATCTAAATGGAGCATTGAAAGAGAGAGTATAACTACTAATTTTCTATCATTTTAATCTAAAAATATTGCTTCATCCGTTAATTTATCTCTGCTTCCCATATTGTTGAAAGAAAATTTTGGTGATTGTACCACCAAAAGTGGTACGAGTGTGACTGCCAAAGTGAGCATGTCACAGGCCCCATTGTGTGAAGACTTGCAGATGAGAGAAATATTAAGGGGTCTTACCTTTGAAACATAAAGATCCTGATTTTTGATATCTTGCAAGTCATGCTAGGGTGACTTAAAAAGTAGGTGTTCCCAGTCATGTGCTTTATGCTCAGGAGAAGTAGCAGAGGAAGCTCTGCGTTCACTCATTTGCCACTGCACTTAACATCGTGTTGAGCTAACGTAGACGAAATCAGTGGTAGTTCAACAGAGTTGCTACCATTCTGCTACGTATTTTTCAAAGGTAATAGTATGTTATAGAGGCAAGGTAGATAGTATGGAGAGAGCTGCCTCTTAAGACATTGCACCTTGCAGCATTAGAAGCCTTAGTCCACTGAGACAGAAAAAATTAGTCCATAGAGGTGTTTAATTATCTTGGAAACACTAAGACCAAATGTTCAGAGTACCTTGTTGCATATGTGCCTTGACCACTGTATTGTTAGCTGTGCAAAAGGCTAAATTGCAACAAAATCTGTTCTGGGTCCTTGTTTAAATTTCATGAGCATCTTAGCCTATTTTTGGACTAGAGGAAAGGTTTTTCAGTAGTTCAATAAATAGCTGAAGGAACACTGTAACTACAAGCAAGCCGTCTGTCTCTGTCAGTTGCTTTAAGTGAAAGTAAGTGTAGGACAAAAACTTTGAAGGCTGTAGACCACATTCTAATTAATAATTACTTTGAATTAATGCAATGGTACAAACTGTTCTGGTTAATGATGTGTTTCACATCTTAGTATACATTAGAGAAGTCAATGGACCTGATTTTGTTTTTTTTTTTCTTGTGTGCATGTGCTGAAGTTGTTTTCAGGTGCCCATCCACTAATGCACATACATCAGTAAGCCTTGTATAAAAATCAATGTTGTAAGTATGTATAATGAGGAAAAGGTTCAAAAGAAGGAAATTGCATGTGTATGTATATAACATAAAGAATGAGTCTAGTGATACATCTTTGATATCATTATTTATCATCAGAAAAGCACTAACAATTTTCTAGGCACTTACTTCAGTAAGAGACCACTTGATTTTGGAGGGTACTTTGCACCATCCAATAACACATGCAAGTGGGATATAATTGGAGATAAAACTTGTGCCTGTGAAAACAAAAATTCTTTATGGTTTTTTTTTCCCTTCTGGGATTGTTTTTCTAAATAACTTTAATCTTGTGTAACAACAAGAGAGTACTTAGTAGTGTTTTTGCAGACTTTGAGACTCCACCTCGACTTTCTGTTTACACGTGTTATGTATGTTCATGAGTTTGCTAAAGTGTGAATAAAGTTATGAATATTCTCTCATTTATATTCCTGAATCTTTGTCCTGAAAACATGAGTGCTTTGTTATTTAGCCTTCCATTCTGTTTCAAAATCAACTTTAATGCCTTTATCCGCTAAATGCAACAGTTACTTCTAAAAGTCCTTTTTTTCTGGGAAAAAATGGGATAAAGGGAAAATTATTCTTAGTAATTATTAGTATTTTAATACTAATAATTTTAGAAAATTATTAGTATTTCTAAAGGGAAACTCCAGGAAAAGATAGTTCTGGCCTCTGTGACTCTTTCACCTTAGAAAGCAATTGTCTTTTTCCTTAACAGAGCTTGCAGAGATTAGAACCTTCAGTTAGTCTTCAGGGTTGATAAAACCAGGTTTTTTGGCTGTGCACCAGTCATACAGCCTGTAGGAGGAGACTGCAGTTATGATTGCTGGGTTTTAGCAGAAACCAGATGTATTTCAGTTCTTAGGACCCTTAAACCTAGGCAAATCAGCATGGTCACCAAAGACATATTTGCCAAAATGGATCTGCAGCTTATATGGCAGACCCTGTTTTTACATTGAAGACTGTTTATTATTGGAGACCTGACCATACAATAGGAGCAGATGTTTTGGCAGTATCCCCTTACATTCAGCACCATCAATAACTTTCATCCTTAACCAACCCTCATATTCACATTGTTCTCTCTTGTAAGAGCACATACTTACGGCTCACAGTGCAAAATGTTCTTCAAAATAGTCTGTTGTGTTTTGAAGCTGTAGTTTTTCACAAATGGGGGTCCAGGACCCTTCTCTTGCTGGAGTCTTGGCTTATACCGTTGCGGCCAAGGGGTCTGTTCTGAATCCCCATCTCGGCTGTGTGTGAAGGATTCTTTCAAAAATGGAACGTGGTAGCAGAAGGCTGGTGGTGATTTAGCTTCTTCACTGCTCTTAAGAGCTCAGTGCTTTTGACCATACCTTCATTTCTTCCTCTCAACAAGCTGAATTTTACATCTGTTTCTCCTGCCTTGTGTTACCAAGCTACATAAAACAGTTGTAGCGATCCAATTAACTCACTCCTGCAGAGACAGCTTAATGGTGTGAGGCAAGCACAGGCTTTCTTTGCTCTCCGGAAAGGAAGACAGCAAGCAAAAGTCGTAAATATAAAGCGATAGGTTTTTAGCATATGGCATGGTGAACTAAAAAACAGAAAATAAAAATAAACAGACAAAGGCCAAAACCTGATCTTGAATAAAGGGAATCAAGTAGTTTACATCTCAGAAGAATACGGTTTCAGTCACTTCAAACAAGGGCTGAGATGAACTTTTGAAGCTGTTTTGGCAACCATGAGGGATAAAGAATAAATCTGGCACAGCACTAGGCTTCCCAGGTCATAATGCGTTAACTTTTTTGTTTGTTTTCCTTCTCAAACTTGGATTAATACCATGCAAATGCTGTGCAACTGTTCAGATGGGAGCATTGGTGGTGAGGGGGAAAGTAAAAACTGCAGTACACTGAACACCACTGCAATTTAACTGTGGTGTTAAATATTAAAAATTGCATTTTTGGCTCTTTTTTTCCCCCCTGGTGCTCCTATCTAATTTAAAGTAACTGATTGAGAGACTAGTGTGTTAATTTGAAATTACCTGAGGAGAGGGAAAATCTTAATGTAAAAAATATGTGGTTAGCAATATGGTGTCACTTAACAGGGAGGATTTGCTCCATATTTTTAAAATATGAATTTTGCTACACAAATCACAATGTAAAAACCTTTTTAAATAACTAAGGACACTTTTTACTGAAGGCTTTCTTCTTTGAACTCTGGCAGAGTCTCCTGAAGATGTGGCTCCAACAGTTGGGTTTTCCAAGATTGACCTTAAACAGGGACGCTTTGAAGTCACCATCTTTGATTTGGGAGGTGGAAAACGAATTCGAAATATCTGGAGAAATTACTATGCTGAGTCCTACGGTGTAATATTTGTTGTGGATTCCAGTGACATTGCAAGAATGGAAGAAACAAAGCAAGCCATGATAGAAGTTTTAAATAGCCCTAAGATATCAGGAAAACCCGTGTTAGTGTAAGTAATGTTAATAAATGTTCTAATAATCTGAAATTTTCTAAATTTTGACCTTCAATACACCTTCTAAAGAAGTATTTATGTATAGTATAAACATAAGTATAAAGTACACTAATACTACTGTAACTTTAGCACTAAGCAATATTACAATCAGTTTTACAGTATTTCTGAGGTATTTATTTATGCCAATCTTAGTATCATACTAGTGAACAAAGCCTTGTCTGTCTGCCTTTCCCTCTTGAGTTATACATGGTGATATACTGAATCCATTCACTGCATCTGACATTAGCTCTTATTTAGTCCTTCTCAGGGTTATTTATTTCTCTTCTCTTTCATTAGCTGTGGAAAAATAATAAGGTTTTTCTTTTTAACTCTTTAAAATTCTAATATTGCTCAAAATGGTATGATAGATCAAAGGCTTTGCAAGTTTGGCATGGCAACATGGTGTAAAAATATTGTTACTATTTAGGCCTACATCAATTACTTAAATTGTAAATGGTTGATTAAATTCTGCAATACCAGTAATCTCTCAGCAATAAATGTCTTGTTCACTTAACACATGGTGGTGCTGCTGATACATGGTCAGCAAAGTCTCATTAAAGAAGGCTTACTTTAATAGTATTTGGCATGCACTTTTGTTTCAGTGGATGTGTTTTAATGAAAAAGTTTCAAAAGGTCTAGAGACGTTCTTTCACAGAACAGATAGATTCATGAACTTCTCTGCTTAAAAACTAGGTTTTGTAAAATATTGGAAATAACATATTTTATTAAATTCAGCCACACAAAAGGTCTCTGAGGACAAATACTACCCTTTTGAAGTTACAAAATAAACTATGGAAGTTTAAAATGGTTTATCAGGACAATATGTTTATGTCTGGTGGGCATAAGACCTCCATAACACAGCAATTACACAACATTTCTGTGATATCATAAAGAATCTGTAAAGCTAAGAGGAGAGGCCTCTTACTTTTAAGTAGTGATGCTCTGGTGGTTTGAGGGTGAAACTGGCTAATCTATTTTGATCAAGTGGAGTGTAGTTCAGCAAGCTAATAGTGTGTATGTTGAAAAATAGATTTTAACTTCCATTGCTATCTGAATGTCATTACTACAGGGAAGGCAATAAAACCAACTTAATGCAGCTAGTTTCACTCAAATCTGTTCTGAAAATGCAACCATGACAGTTGACAACTGTGCAGTTTTTCTAAATAAATACAACTTTAGGGTTTTTTTAATAGAAATCTCTATGCCCTAATCCTGTAACAGAGTTTATCTGGGTGGCTGGCTGTACCTGCAGAGAGCCCACTCACTTCCCTGGGACTCAGTCCTGCTTTTCGATCCATGTCAGTAGCTAATCAGAAGGCAGAGTGTATTAACTGAGTCTAATGGTGACTAAACTAAGTTTGTTGATGTTATTGCCTTCTAATTGATTCAGCCTCAAGCCTGTGAACAGAATTTGCTCTTGCAGTGTCCCGGTTCTGTGGAGGGATCCAGTAGTTCTTTGTTTTATGCTCCCTATATGAGCCTGCATCTTGAGTTATGAATTCTTTCCTGTCTTGTCCTTGTTTTCTGTTTGGTGTCTGTGTTCATGGCATAGCTATGCTACTTTTGGCATGTTCAAATCACGTAAACCCTAGAACTTGTTCCAGCATTTGAAGCACTACTTATATTGTGAAGCCTGCAAGTTGTGAAGCAGGAAGGCTTGATCAGTAAGCACTCGTGTTTGTGATATGAAAATTGAGTGCTTAGCAAATGAGATTAAACTGATCTCATGGACCTTCCCTTCCCTGAAGATGCCTTTGGTGGAGATGCAAATCCCTGTCACTCACACTTGCCAAATAAGAGTTCGGTGGCATAAACTTTTTTCCCTTGAGTCCCTAAAACTGAAAAATGGAAATGTATCAAGAGCAGAATAAAGGAAACAGCAGATTTCCAAATTTGTGGTGAAAGTTAACCTTTTTTAATATTACCCTCTTCTAAGGATGTTCAACTTTTGTTTTGGTTTGGTTTTTTTAATAATGAAATACCTGGTATCCACGTAGCAATAAGTTCCCTAATATCCTGATAAGTTTCTAATTAGTGCATTTTAGTCTATGCATGTTTGTGTGAAGGGCAGTATTTACTGAAAACAATACAGTGACCTCTGAGCATTGAATCCAGGAAAGCTGAAGTTTAAGTAATTCCCTTCTCTCCCATGCTCTTGCAGTGCAGAGCAAAATCTATTTCTCTCTTCATAGAATACTGTTATAATTTCGTGCCAGAGGAGAGAGATTCCTTCTCTGTGATTTCCACACTCCATAAGTGTGTCTCTGGTCTGGACTACTGCTTTGTTCCTCCAGCACTTAAAATAAACAAGGAGAAGCAGAAAAACAGGTGTAATTTGTTTACTCTCTGCTGTCTCTAGATGCACAGATTTCTCTGCTATGTTATTTGTATGCTTAAATACAAAGCGCTTATTCATTAATGTTTTATTAATTTCCAATTATCATCTTAAAAACTAATAAAAGAAACTAAATTCTAAAGGAATGAAAAGGAGTGAGCTATAACTTCAAAGTGTGTGTATGCTGAAGAATGATGAAAGAGGTATTGGTGACTTGTTCAGAATGAAACAATTAAAATGTTTATACTGGATATTCATGTTTCTTTTTAAGCATAGATTGAACCAATGCACCAAAATTTCAACAGTCAGCACTGAATTTTAGTCTAATGTTATTTACCCTAACTTGTGCTGTATGCAGTATCTTGTACAATGAAGAATATATAAGTATGCTGTAAGATTGGATGCAGGTCCATTCTGGATTTTGAAGGCAGCAGCAGAAGTTGCTGTATACGCAGCACCAGGTGTATCATTGTGTGTACCTAGCATCCGCTTGTCTTTGAAATAACCTGCTGGTTATGCTTTTTTCCTTTTTTTCCTTTTTTTGGGTGTACTTCTGGTAGATGACAATCAAAAAGACAGAATTACTTTTTTCTTTTGCATTTATGGGCTTTCATCTATCTGGACAAAACTAATTTTGCAGTTGGATCGGGGAAAAATAAAATCTTCGTGACTGGTAGCTAGGATGGACCTTTGAAATAAACCATTGCTTACCAGACAATTAAATTCATGTATTTGTAAAGGAACACTCCAGTTATCAGGTTATCAATATCATATTTGTGCCTGTGCTCCATAGTATTTTCCTTATTAGTTAATAAAACTTGGAAAGGAGTGATACTGGAGTTGTAGCAATGGTAAGGAGGCAGGAATTTGCCTCTGGACAGGAGTTCTGATCTGTCAGAGTTCTCTTCCTAATCTGCCTTTATACCATGGACTACCTCAGCATATATAAAAGAAAAACTTGAAACAGAGATTGCATTCTCTGTTAGGTAAATTAATGCTTACTAGAACTTTCATCCTGTTTTACTGGTAGAGTTCCTGGTGTTCAGAACTCTACAAGGATTTGGATTAAGAGTGCTGTTGTTGAATGCTTTTAGAAAATTGGTTGTTCAATAATAACTCCAAGAGGAAATAAAATACAATTTGTATAACTCTGTACTAATGAATAAACACCTTCCCTAATTTACTCACCTTTTCTGACATACCCTGACCTCTCTCACTAGTTCCTGAAGTCTTATCCTCTTTCTCCTTCCCTTTCCTTCCCTTCCCTTCCTCCATTCAGCATTTCCTCTGTGGCTGGGTAAGCACATGCTGTGTTTGGTTGTGGTGCAACAAGCGAAGTACTCTGCTGTCTGTTGCCTTTGAGAATAGGTGAAGTGAATGAATCAAAACTAGTGTTGGTCTCTCTCTTCTACCCATGTGAATTTGATGCAGATCAGCAGTACGGTTATTGTAGAAGCTAACTGTCCTTGCAAAAATGGTCTAAAAAAGTAGTGGGGGGAAAAAGCTTTCTACTCGGGTAAACAAATTTTGATGTGATGTAATGGGTAAAATATATGCTGAATCATGAAGTTCCTTTATCTAAATATATCTCCTTTTTATCTTTAAAGATTTAAAAAAGAAAATAACATATGCCAATTTAGAAAACTGTGTGTTTCTTCCTGTAAAAAGATAATGTTGTTTATACCTATGGTCTCTGGTTCATTACAGTAAAAACGTCTCCGATAGTAACATTTAAATAAAAGTATTCTCCAGTTGTTTGCTGTTACATGATGGCAGGCTTGTCCACTGCTCTATATATTTGTCCAATGCTCTGTAGATTCATTGAGTTTCAAGATTTTCTCATTTGCTGATGTGGAGTTGGAGTTGTAAAGAAAAAAACAAAAACCAAAAAACCCCCAACCAACCAAAACAAAACCAAATCAAAAAAGAACATACACAAAAAACCCAAGAATAGGAACAAACTTCAACAGTGATATAGTTAATGGTCACCAGGGAAGGCTTGGGAGTCTTTGACACACAGTCCTTAATGAAAGTAGACAGATTAAACGTTTTTTTTTCCATTTTGAACAGCACAGTAATTATGTGGTTTGTCTACACTGAGAAATTTAGTCATTCACTCCCTCCCCCTCCCCCTTTTTTTTGTTGTTGTTCTTTGGGTGCTGTCACCACAATGAGCCATACTGTGTATGTGGTAGCTGAGTGACTTACATCTTCTTGGAGAGAAACAGTTGTGTGTCCTCCCTCTTCCTGAGATGACATGTCTGTGTAACACTGTAATTTGGCCAGATAGTAAGGGTGTAGACCATTCCAACTTCAGCTCCTACTAATCAGGACAGGTCCCCAATACTACATCAGCAGGTCTTGCACACTATATGCCCTCATGCTATGTCCCAAAACTTCAAGCATATGATATCAGCGTGAACAATTCTTTCATGAAATGCATTACACTTATCATTATTTTGGACATATTGAATTAAAAATAAAATAATTTTATATATGTAAGTCCTAAGGCCAGAGGGATGTCACATCGTGTCACATGCATCCCACAAGAAATTGGGGTCAAGTGCTGTAGTGTGGATGTGACCAGTCCTCTCCAGAAGGGGATTTCCAAAAGCTCTTCACT